GGGGGGGGGGGGGGGGGAGGAGATGTAGGCACAGGTCTAATACACGCAGAGCATGACGACCCACCCCATAAGTAAACCTCCCTCATGCGGGCAGTTCAGACCCCTGCCAAGATATTTGGATGCGGGGGGGGAGGGTGTACTCATAGTCGTGCATGCCGTAGTCGTTAGACCATTGACCTCGCATCCCTACAAAGCCGGGACGGAGCACGCCGGGTTCTCACCGGACCAGGCTCTCACATCACCAAGCGCGAAGCGCCGTGAGATATTCGGCGAGTCGCATGAAGGGTGCGCTGCATCCTGCTAAGGGTTTTCGGCATCTTGTGCTTACTTCCTTGCGTACGGATGACAGCTGCGTATGAATTAATTTATTTTCTGGTGCTTTCACTTCCAGAGACAGTTGTAAGCACTGTGTAACTGCCTCGAGGGTGCTTGACCATTTTAACACAACGTGGTGCGATCATCCCCCTTGCGCGGAGTGAGGGTTCTCCACCCCGCACAACATGATCTACTCGACCACCATTCATGGTTACTGCAAAAAAAAAGAGGTAAAAAAAACCGGTAACCTGGTTGCCGAGTTCACGGAGCTTGTTGTACAACGTCGTTGCCAAGCGACGAAAATCCAATCCCGATGGCAAACACAAGATGGTTGGATGCGGCGGGGGGTGTACTGATAGTCGTGCATGCTNGCGAAGCGCCGTGAGATATTCGGCGAGTCGCATGAAGGGTGTGCTGCATCCTGCTAAGGGTGTTCGGCATCTTGTGCTTACTTCCTTGCGTACGGATGACAGCTGCGTATGACTTCATATATTTTCTGGTGGTTTCACTTCCAGAGACAGTTGTAAGCACTGTGTAACTGCCTCGAGGGTGTTTGACCATTTTAACACAACGTGGTGCATCATCCCCCTTGTGCGGAGTGAGGCTTCTCCACCCCGCACAACATGATCTCCTCGACCACCATTATGATTGCCGCCAAAAAAAAACCAGAGGTAAAAAAAAAACCGGTAACCTGGTTGCCGAGTTCACGAAGTGACTTGGCTTGTTTTACAACGTCGTTGCCAAGCGACGAAAACCCAATCCCGATGGCAAACACCGAGGTTGGATGCGGGGGGGGGGTATTCGGGACAGTGCATCGAACAAAACAATGTCGATCACGATGGAACCGGTCGTGGCCTGTCGTTGTCAGGGACTCCGCAGTCGGGAGAAGAACAAATCAAGGCGGTGCTTCCGACTCGATTTTTTCGCGCGCAGTCGGGGAAAACGAAGTGAGGAGAGACGTGGCGAAACCTAAGGAGGAAAGCACTGCTACAACAGTATTGCTGTATGCATTTGCGTGTCTCTTGCGTTTTGTGCGCGATAGGCGAGCGAGCCTCGTGCTACTACAAAAGCATCGAGACTGACGAGAAAGGGAGCAAGAGCTGGCGCCCGCGGCGTGGTGTGCACGGCAAAGGACAAGGTGAAACTCAACATAAACGGCGAAGAACCCCCCTACTCCGCCTCTTGGAAGACATCCAACGGAACGAGCATCATATGCCACGCACTGCTGTTCGGCACAGGTGGCCCTCAAAACAAGCCCCTACAACATTCATAGTCTACGACATCGCTCTCGTGCGCAGCGGCAGCCGACAGCAGCAACGTAACACTCAACAGGAAAATGGCGATGACTGGAGCTCATGTCCTAGCGTTGGCTGCTGTTATCTCCTCGACATCAGACCAAAGAAAAAACGAACACGGAGCGGAGGAGCCAAAAAATCACGGTCGCTACTTGGCGTGCCATTCCTGGCGAGGGACAAATGCCCCCGGAGGTTGCTTGGGGGTTTCACGTGGCAACACAAGCTGCCGCTGTCCGGGCCCTAAAGGCTATCCCCGCCATCTTGGCGAGTCAACTGTCAAGGACAATGAGCGGTCAGTCACGGTTGGGCTAGGTAGACTAAACGTCCCCCGTGTTGCATGTACTGTTTTCCTGCAGTTCTCATCGTCCCCCTCTACTCACAATTTCTATTGCGCAGGACCTACGCGTAATTGCAAATTATTTCTTCCCCACAAAAAAAGCTGATACCCGGGATCACACCGACAAATCCCGACGCGGTGCATGCCTTCAGTCCCTCCGCGATTTTCATCATGCGCAAACTTACGCAAGGCGCTTGTCCCGCAGGCCTAGTGCATCGCAAGCAGGATAAGCGGTCCAAGCCGAAGTGGAACCACTATTATAGACGGCGCCGACTAGGCTAATGTGTTGATTTCGGCTTCCAAAGACCCCAAGAATTCTTCCGGTAAACAATCTCACGGTGATTGAATACCCCGCCACTTGAGCACGTAGGCAGGTGGGCGACCCGTCCGCACGTGAAGCAAAGTTGTCTCTGCGTAGGAAGGGTGTCAAGGAATGTCAAGACGAATCGCTCCACGAGGGGTGGTATGTAGGTAGATTCACCGCCATCATTACACCACAGGGCCGACCTACACTTCCGGGGGATACGAAAAGCAACGCGGCATATGCGGCGAGTCATGGTTGGTGATGACCAACCAAACAATCTGCCCAGCTCTAAAACAAGACGCGGGGAAGGTGACAGCATGTGCATGCATCCCACGCGCTGTCACCGTCGGGCGGAGGTGCAGCGAGTCGGCACATGCGTGCATCAAAACAGGTCATGACTTGTTCGGGCCGTCGTCCACACAAACAGCAGCCTTTGGACCGCAGCGAGCGAGCTCCCTCCCGCGCGCGGGGAATGACATAACAGAGCAGCGTAGGCGCTTGTGTGGGGCTGATGGCCCTTGGGGTACATGTGTACGTTCGGTCAGAAAATGCTTGTTCCGCTGGGGATGGCGGTCGCCCCGCTTTCCGCTGGGTATGGCACCCTTACGGGACCTGTGGAGGTCAGGTCGCGCGTTCAACTATGTAGTCGAACATTCAGTCTAGACCTCGGTTAATGAGCTCGGGCTGAAGGTTTGAACAAATGTCAAAAACCGATTCTAATGTTGACAAGGGTGCCCACGATCGGGCGGAGTTGAAGCGAGGCACCGCACGTAACAGGGGATGCTGCTAAGGAATCCTTCTGTGCGATCCTGCCAAGTCATACATAAAATCGACGATGGCATACCCTACAAGAGGCGGTGTGCCATGCATTGTGTACAACCACCTACTTGCCCTTCACAAGTTGCCTATCATCACAATGTAACACCCATCCCCTGATGTCCGCCCGTACATGTATTCTAGTATTCAACAGCAGTTGTATCTGGCGCGTGATATCTACTGCTGTAAGGGCTGACTGTTCACCCATGTTTCGGCAGAGCAAGTAGGGGTACAACCTCTCGGGCGTTCCGTGTGCCAGGTATGTCAGGTCTTTGGCCTAGTCTTGCTTACAGTGTTACCACAACGAGTGATGTCGTTGCGGGCGGTGACCATTCGTACAGGCTGCTTCCTCTTTACACCTTACACCAAATTGTGGCCCCATGTGTGTGTAGCGATGCGCCGGCAAAGAGCCAAAACCAAGAAATAGGGTGCGTGCCGGTGAGCTTACTTTACGGTGTTTGACGTGTTGGTACTCGAATCCTCGGAAAACTTTCAGCCGAGCTCCACACACACAGTCGACACTCCTGCCGTCCAAGTGGTGAAAGAACACTTTTCCCATTGCCTTCCGGATACATGTATCGCTGTTGTCTTAAACGGAACACACAACTTGAATCAAGGCCTGCTGCCGTTGTACAGAGCAGACCCGGCGGGGGAAAAGGCAGAGAGAGATCAGCGGCGGCGTGATGCCGCGAGCGGAGGGCAAGCGTGAGGCTCAGTTACAGCGGTTCTTGTCATTCGGAGCTCGTTTACATATGTGTTCGGGAGGTACAGCACGACACACCGATCAACTCCACACAAACTTGCGGCAAAGCGGACGCGGGGTGCATGGGGGTACACCTCTGCACTCATCCCTATTTTACACGCAGCATTTATTTGCCCAACGTAGCAGTAGTTCCTCACGCGGGTGCTTTGGCCGTCACCACTATCGACTCCCAGAAGGAAAAAAACGCGGGAACACAAGTATGGCGCCAAGTATGATTATTCGACGGGTGAACGGCGCTGTGTTATGGCTGAGCTGCCTGCACCACCTCTCACCACCACCTCCACGCGGCGCAAACATCCGATCTGCTGCTGGGTTTGACGAAGGGAAGAGAGGTCTCTCATGATGAGTGCAAGCGCCCGTCACACCGCACCACCATCAAAACCACACACTGTGCCCTCAGCGCACAGCAGCCTTCTTCTCTTCGTTATCTCACCTTGAGAGCGACGATTTCTTCCGTCTGCCGGTCCTTTGCCTTGTAGACCACGCCGTAGGTGCCCTCTCCGAGATTACCCCCCCCGCCTTTTTCGATCTTCTGATAGCGATCCATGTGGTTCCTCCCTTTGGCTATCCCCGCCGTCGCCCTCGCCCTCTCCTTTCTCTCACGCACGCGAGGGGGGTAACCGAGCAGCGGCCGAGCGTCTCCGAGCTTCTCTTGCCACTCTCCTCGCTAGCTCGAGACCCCTTTGAGCCCGCTCGGTCCGGACCCGCTTCCGATCTCCGTCTCGCTGCTGCTGCCTGCTGAGTTGTCTGTTGTCTCTCGCTCGGCATATTTCAAAAAAGAAAAAAGAAAAAAAATAGCGTCCCCGATCCCCCCTGAAGCCGCCAAACAAAGAATCCGGTTAAGCCTTTCAAAAGAAGCAGCATTATTCGGCGCGCGCTAGGGTTTTCCACCAACGACACAACGCCTTTGTGTTTGCCGCCAACCCCTTCCTCCGCGCCGCCGCTTTCACGAGCACCGGAGCACACAGCAGTTTCATGTGGTGGGGTTTCAAAGACGGCGCGAAAGACGGCAACACCAGCGAGCCGCGAGCGGCAGCAGGAGCAGCCCCCTCGCAGCAGGCTGCTGCCCCATCTCCCAGAGGGTCCCTCCCTGGATTCTCGTCAGCGACCCCAGCAGAAACCACTTCCTCTGCGGCCGCCGTGCCGACTCCCAGTGGCGCCGTGACGCCTGCCAGCCCCCCCCCCACCGCCGCACCGGGCCCGCCCCCGGCGGCGGCGGTCGCGGCTCCAGTAGCAGGTGCGGCCGTCACGTCGGCGGCCCCGACGGTGACGAGCGAGCCTTTCGCTCCTCCTCCTGCTGCCGCGCCGGCAGCTCCCACCGCGGTGGCTCCCCCCGCACAGCAGCCGCTTAGCGTACCTGCCCCATCCCTCCCGCAGCAGACCCCAACGCCTGCCGCCGCTTCGCAGCCTGTTGCCGCCGCCGCCGCCGCCGCCGCCGCCGCTGCCGCGGCGGCAGCAGTAGCTTCCGCGCCCCCGCCGGCACCGATGTCGGCGCCGGTGGCGGCGCCGCAGGCAGCGCCGCCTGCGGCACCGCCGGCAGGGTTCAGCTTGCCCGTGGCACCTCCACCGGCCGCCAAGCCCGGCCCTTCGGTTGCAGTGCTGCAGGCGGCGGCGGCTCAAGCCGCGGCGGCTGCCTCGGCGGCCGCGAACGCGGCGCTCCGAGCCAACCAGAAACACACCAAGCCAGGAGCGAGGCGGTACTCCTCCTCCGGATCCGCCGGCGGCGCGGGAATGCCCGCGTCCTCGAAGGAAACCGGGATCGATATCCATAGAGCGGCCGACCGCGGCACCTTCCGGGATGTGTGCAAGTACGTGGAAATCGGGGGCGACGTGAACGCTCGCGACAAGTCGCAGGTGAGATTGAAAGTTGGTGTTGGTGTTGTGGCAGAATATACGCGATCTCCTACATAATACAGCAGCACCTTGAGTCAAGTGCTGTCGAGAGCACGACGTCAAAAAGTGCTTGTTGGTGACCTCTGCGGTGTCTCGCCGCAGCTGCTGGAAATGCTGTCGCTCTCGCCGGTTTTTCTTTTATGCGACAGTTTGTGAGAAGCATCTTCTCTCACCTATCCTCCCCCACCCCCAGATAACACCGACACCCTCCAAACCCAACGCCGACTGGTAGAACAGCCTTTGCCCGTCGGGTGGAATCGTGGCGTCACCCGGATCGCGAGATTTAAGATGCTTTTAGATACCCGCGCAAGTAGTATCCACTCTGTCGGCAAACGGTTCTCATGGTAAAAAATCCTACTTCCATCTCATTTGGAACCGGAAAAGCCCTTGTCTGTTCCATGGAAATGTGGCTTAACCTGGATCGCGATATTTTGCGATGCTTTCACTAAGAGGCACCAGTACAAACAGCAATATCTTCTGTCGGCAACGGTTCTGTTGATAACCCCCGCTGATCGTCCCGGTTGGATCCGATCCTCGCCGATCAAGAGCACGTCGTCGTCGGTTAGAAACAACCACGCGCCCCCGACAGACGGCATTTGTTTGATGGCGAGGTCGCCGCCAGAAGGTTGCTCTCTCAAAGAAAATAATCGATATAAAATCCAGCTGATAAAATCAAACAAAGACTTCATAATACAAAAAGTAAGAACTACGTGGTCGAGATTCAAGATAATACTACCCATGAGTGAGCGTCGTCCCGTCGACAACGCGAATAACCAACACCTTCCGTTCTCCTTTTCCGCTTTCCCGCCCCTCTCCTTTCATTCATCACCCCACGCTTTCGTTCCCAGTGGACACCCCTTCATCGCTGCGCCCGCAAAGGGCACACCGACGCCTGCAAATTCCTGCTCCAGCACGGCGCAGACGTGACCCTCAAGACGATGGAGTTGTGGACGCCCCTGCACTGCGCGTGCGTCGGGGGCCATCCGGCGGTAGGCGTACTTGCAGTGTTCACGGTATGGTGGTGCACGTGACAGCTCGACGGTGGTTGTGAGCGCTGTTGCTGCTGCTAGCCTCAAAGGGTCAAAGGGACAAATCAACAGGGAGTTGGTGCGCGGGGGGATGTTGAAATATGTCCCCGTTTTCTTGAGTGTACACTACCGTATATTGTTGCCGATCTCCCCCCTTCCCCTCACGTAACATGTGCGTTTTGGAACGCGCTGGTTGTCCGGCCTTACCTACGGCTGTAACAGCTGGACCGCTGTGAATCCTTGCCCTACTGTGTTTGATTGCTCTTTGATTGTGCCAACTTCGTTTCCGTCGTGCACAAACATGTTTTTTTTTTTTTCATGCATGCGGTCGGTCGAAACTTGTGGTATGCATACCATATGTGCAACAGGTGGTAAAAGAGTTGGTGAGCGCAACGCCGTCCCCGGCCCTGCAGTCGAAGACACGCCTCGGGCAGACGCCTCTCTACCTGGCCGCGTACTGGGTGAGTGTGATTCGCCGCTCTGTGTCGGCATTCACGCGTGTACATTTTGTTGGCCAGTTTGTAACGAGGGGGGCACTAAAATAGCCGAAAGGTTCCGTCTGTCTTCCGGCGTGCTTGGCGGACGGGTTGGCTTGTTCTCCTTCATCGCGTCTATTTTTCATCAATAAGTTTATTTTCTGGAACGCGTTGTTGATATTGCGTTGTGGGGGACGCCCCGTCCGCATCATTCCGCACACACGGTCTTTTGAAAGCGTATTTTCGCTATTGTTTTTTGCGATGGGCGAGAACCATACCCATCAACCGGTGCCCCGTTTCTTTTAGGCCCTTGTGCACGGTACTGCTGCAGTGCTGCGCTGCGGCGATGGCAGAGGCGAAGGGTGTGTGTGGGGAGGGAGGTGTCAAAGCGGTAACATTTTGTCGGAGCTGTTGAGCGTGTACGGCGGAGATTCGGCGGTTCCTTGAGAAAGCGTTGCTGCTGGAGTACATCTGTCGCACTGCTGTACACGATACCCATTTCACACACACGCCCCTGTCCGGCAAAAACTTGTTGAACGATGCATGCCTGGAATTTTCAGGGGCATCTTCACTCGGTGCGGGAGCTGCTGGCCGCCGGCGCTGACACAACTCTGAAGGTGTGGCACAAGGGCTCTGGAATGGAAGGGCTTGGCGCATTTTGGGGGGGGGGGGGGGGGG